CGCATCATTTTGCCTGTTTTCCTGTCGACGTTTTTAATTTGTTTTTATGACGGGGTCAATGAATAAACGGGGGCCGCTTGGATCCGCTCTATTGTCCTGGATACCGAGAGAAACTAGCCATTAGCTAGCTGGTAGCAAGCTTGCAGCTAGCTGGTAGCTAGCTGGTAGTTAGCTGGTAGCTAGCTGGTAGCTAGCTGGTAGCTAGCTGGTAGCTATGTACTAGCCAACTAGTAGCCAGTTTGTAGCTTGCTAGCTAAGTAGCTGGCTGGAGAAGGACCTGCAGGGCGGCGTATCGTCTCAGCATTCAGGTGTACGTACAGCTGGCGGCAGCTGCACTGCAACTGCTGTCTGCTGAGCAGAGACATTAGCGAGCCCTTGATGCCCCACCAAAGAGGAGACAGTATCTAGAAGGTTAAGAAAAGGAGAGGAAGCAGAGCCGGTGGCTGCATGCGTGCTGCTGGCATTTGCATTAGCCTTTCTTAGTGCATCTCGTGGGCCTCAGCAACAGACAGAGCAGCAGTTGCTGCTGCTGCTGCTGCTGCTGCTGCTGCTGTTCTTGTTAAGGTGCTGCTGTTGCTGCTCTCTCTAAAAGGAGCTGGGATGAAGACAGTCGCAATTACTGTCTGTATTTCTGTGTATCTATCTATTTGTCTCTTTCTGTCTCTCTCTTTCTGTGCCTGCATCTGTATCTCTATATGTTTCTCTATTTGTTTGTTTGTCTATCAAGCGCTCCTGTATACCACGCAGCTAATGCAAAGCCTCTAAACCCTAAACCCTAAACCCTAAACCCTCGTATTAAAGGGGGAGAAGCGCCCCCTATATAAGGCTGTCTCTATAGGGTTATACTGCAGTCTCTTTATCTATTTGTTTATAAATTATATATTATATTATATACACAGAAGAAGTGTTTAGTTGAACATAACAAAACACGAAGACAAAATCCTTATAAATATATTAATAAAGTAAAATTCTAATAAATATATTAATGAAACAAAATCCTAAGAAATATCATAACAATACAAAACCCTAACAAATGTAAATAATAATAAGAAATA